TCAAGTCGGGGTGGAAACGGGCATCTCCCGCGGGAGCCCTGCACCTTCCCGAGGGGGTCAATTAAACCGAGAGGGAGTGGAGGATCGCTCCTCCCGAAACTCGATCGATTTGCGATTGGGCTGCTGTACGGATGATGCAAACGAGATTTCGGGGGAGAACAATAGCCTCGTGGCTTATAAGCGTCTTGGGGGTTCGCGTGGGTACGAAGAGTTATGTGGTGTGGAGGGTTTTGGAATGCCCGAAGAGAACGTTTCCTGCTGAGTTTGGGCCACAGAGAAATTAGTCGATGAGGCTATTTTTTTTTTATTTTCCTCTCGAGTGGTGTGTGTCTCTACGACTCTCCGGGGAAAAGAAACATCTACTGCACTCACTAAATTTGAAATAGTGAAAATTTCATTATTTGCGTAAGTGGACGAGATTTTTTCCACGCACCCTCAATATTTATCAGTAATCCAATAACCGATTTTGATCCAAATGAAGATAATGGTATCACCGATACATATTATTTCGAGTAGTAACAACAACAAGTTTACCAACTAATTCAAATAGTCAACCGTTAATTTGGTAGAAATGATGAATATTCGCTAGTTCAAATGAGTTATAAGTATACAAGTTTGAAATGGTGAAACCGCCTGTTTGTATATATTCACTATTTTACAGAGTATAGGTATATGCAACATTTATACACAGAGTAGGTAACAACTTACACCAGTTCGTGCTGGATGTGTATACTAGTTGGGTTCTTACATGTGATCCATAGTTGTGCACCAGATTGTCTGAAAGCAGTAACGTGCAAAGGGCGTGTTTGCAATAAAAACACGGAAAAGTCCTCGATCCACAAAAAGTATCTCTATATGTACGGGCACACAAAGCGCACGTGTGAATGGCTACACGCACGACAGCTGGAAATTTCACGTGCCAGTGGCAGAAGTGGAGTGGAAAACCTACTGTCAAAAATATAACCACGTTATGACGATGGAAACCCAGGGAGGGCAGGGAAAAAAGTACCCTCTCGCCGCGGAGACGCGCCCAATGACGATTTGCTCGGGAACCATGTGTTGTATACTACGTCCCCATGACATTCCGCGTTCTTCGGAAGTAAAAGCGGAGCTAAACAATTCTCGCTCCGCATACATGCGAAACTAACACTCGCCCGGAGAGCACGAGGACGGAAAATTGCCGCGATGAGCGGTGGTCTGGCCCGTATGGGGAGAAATTTGCGGGAACGCCTGGGAAATGGGTTCACATCCCTTGGCGTATACCCGTACATGTGCGTGGTTATCTTTGTTCGCGGTGTTGTTATTGCGCTGCGATTCTACACGCTGCTCTAGTAACGAGATGTTGTTCGAGCGGAACACCCTTTTGATTGTTTTAATGTACGAACGGATTTGCCTTTCATGAGTTAACGTTGGAGGGGAGTTTGATTTGTTTAACTGGAATATATTTGATAGTTGGAGGTTGTTGGTGTTTCATGTTTCACGATCTTCTTTTTTTTTCTCGAGTGTTGTAGTGACAACATTGTCGTTTCGAAAAAAAGTGCCAACTCTTGTGCAACTGTCAGACAGTTATCAGAATGACATTGCGTTGACACTTGAAATTTAAATAAACATGTCCTCAGAGATGGAAAATGGAGAAAGCCCTTTCTCGTCCCCGAGCGTCTATCTTTGGATCATCGATGGACTGGATTAGACATGAGGTGCACTTCACGTGTTTGCTACGCTCCCGTTGAACGTGCAATATCCAATGAGGTCTCCGATATTTCACAGAATTTTCATGGCTCCGCATGTGGTACCAATATAATTCATAACGAGTAGCGAGAAAACATGTGTCGCATCGCCAATAAAACAGTCCTGTAAATTATTCACGCACTCCGTCTATAAACGTGCACTTGTATGCATATATATGCAATAGACATTACGTTGGAAAAGAAAAATTCGCACAATAATAGCATATACCGTTTGAGTAGCGAGTATTTTGTCTTTTATTGACAATTTAAAAATAATGTAATTTTCATTCCCACCCCCTCGTCAGCGAATGTATGTGAGGCGAATCTCGGCGTGTACTTTTGCATTTCGTCGGCATCCCTATATTGCCATTGATACACGTGTGCACATGTGCCTGGAAATGCAGATTGAAATCACAGAAAAGGAAAAAAAAAGATGCGCGCGAGACGAATAAAAGAAAAAAAGGGGGAAGGGGAGGGCGGAAAATGTTGGGGAAAGAGAATATGGCTGGGGAGAAAAATAGGCCAGTGAGTTGTGCGCCGGGAGAAAACTCTGGGCGGCGGAGAGGGTATGTAGGTGGGTAGACAGAGAGAGAGAGAGAGCGGGTGTACCAGAGTCTGGGGGAAATGGAAAAAGTGAGGGAGTAAGAGAGGCAGTAGAGAAAAGATGCAAAGAAAAGGCGGAAGTACGCGGATGCTGGAAAGGAGGGAGCGACGGAAGAGGCCGCCTATGTGTTGGGGGTGAGGGGGTTTGGATGGGAGGGATGGAAAGAAAGAGGCAGCGCATGAATCAATGTTTCCAGTGCATTTCGCCCTCTTCCACCTCGGGGCCGTAACAAATAAAGAGATACGTCATGACTCGGGCTCGGGTTTGTGTCAAACGCGAAGGCGCTTTTTTTTTTTTTTTTGTTTCTTGTTACTTTAACAATGAAATATCTGGTGCTTTTATTTTTCCGCTGAGGGGGGAAACGATTTGACGGGGTGACGCGTTTGAAGTAACGTGAAGTTACATCGTGAGTTTGCACGTTTGCTTGTTGAGAGCAGAGTCAAGCTTGCATGTAACTCGAGTGTTCGCCGAAGCGAGATTATTTTTTCAGATGCAACCCACGCAATGCTGTTAAAACGTTGAATTTTGAAGTTTTGAGTATTCGAAAAATCAAAACTGTTCAGATAAATTAAATCTCTGCCGGTTTTTATGCAATAGACTGGTAGATAAGTACAAGTATACCTTCACGATTTTTACACAGCACAGCAGTAATATGCACTCACAAAGGGTCGGTGTCTTTTGTAAGAAAAGTTTAATGCGATTGAAAAAAAAAAGTTTTGAAATGTTCAGTTAACAAAAACTCGTGGAAAACATATAATTATGATTTTCCGAAAATGATTTTCCATAAGTGACTAACACTTATACTTTAAAGTCAAAAGCCCGAAAAATTATATCTATATAAATATATTTAATCTATTATTGCTGTGCGTCATTTCAGAAATTTTACTTATAAATTAGTCATTCATGACGAATTGTACTAGGAAAAAAAAAATGTCTGTTCATGTCAAGTCGTTCATTAACAATTTACAATTCTTGTTGCAATCGAAATTTTTCTTTAAAAAGAAACTTACTCATGCTCGTTTGGTCAAAAGAAAATCTTTTCGACAAAATGTCTTTTCTGTAATGTTAATGTTATTTTGGTATACTCATCAGCACCAAATATTTTGAAAAATGGTTCATCCCGTTGTTGGTGCTCGATAATCAATATTTACAAGCTACTGTTGAAATTACATGGTCCAAACTCGAGGACAGACAAAGTTTTGTAAAATCCACCGAGACAACTTGATGAAGACACAAAGTAAATTATTGTTCAACAAATCTCCTTGAAAAAAGGGGAGCCCCGCCATGTAAGAGCACCAGTGCGAAAACGACCCGTTAATCCCCAAAAAGCTGGATGGTAACAAATGTGTCCCACGATCCGATAAAAGCAGTCAATGTCCTCCGACCGATATACATACCAGGCGGGCACTCACCGCCGCAGTCACGAAAGGTTGTTTGCGATGCCGAAACGTTTCGCGCCGCAGTATAAACTCCAAAATAGTAGGTTCAGTCGAAGAAGCAAGATAGAGGGTGTAGATGCAAGTTCCGCTCAGCGAGGAGAGGGAGACCGGGGCGTCGTCGCTTCGGTGGAGGGTATAGGGTGTATAAAATCCGTAACGCCGCTACTGCCGCTTCTCCATGGCCGAGCCAATTTCTCACGTCAAGATGCGCATCGTAAACCGTTTGCCTCCTCCTGTATACCTACTGTGCACATGTACACCCCGTCTCCCCGAAGATACTACACCCCTCGTCCGTGCGTGCACCCTCTCCGCTACACCGATGTGCTGTATACATATATGTGCGCACGAGTGCAGCCGAGGAAGAGGCCTCTCGGGAAGACACGTATACTCCACTGCCTATTATTCCCCTTTCCCGGCGAGTGAGCGTCTGAAAGGGGAATTCCGTGTCATTTGTGCAAGTATACTTGTGTTGCAAGAGGCGCGATGCCACCACCACAAACGCTACTATACGTTCTACTCTTGCTTATTTTACCCTTATTGGGCTCGTGTACTCGTTATTTTTTTTAATTTTTTTTTTTTTTTTTTTGATACCCTCACCACTGGGTTATCTTTTTAGAGATTTGGGTTTTCAAAGAATAAATTTTGCTTCACCGGGAATAATGTTGTTTGACTTCCTGATGTTGGGTATTTCACTTTGTGTTTTTTGATTTTTATGTTAAAACCAGCGTCAAACGAGGGAAAATGTACGGCGTTTTTTAAAACGTTACCGTGGGATCAAATTTTCATACTGTCCATCAAAAATCAATGAATTTCATCAGACCGTTCTCGGAAAGCTTTAAAAAAGTTATCTGGAATTTCTTTACTGATTTTAATTAAAAATCATTTTACAAAGTAACTTTTTTTTGTGTTTTTTTTTTGAGAGCTTCATTCCGTAGTTTGATATTCCGGAAACATTTTCAGAATACGCTCTACAGGGTAATAAATTTTTCGTGTAATCTTTACCCTGAAACTGTACTGTGTTGCTGAGATACGGTGAAAATACAGAAATTTTGTCATAGAGCTACGGTAAGGATTACGTCAAAAAAAAAAGAGGAAAAATTCAAGTGAATAAACTGGTGTCCATAGTTTCATGGTAAAACTTACTACAGCCCTTTTCTCCATTACGCGAAAGACTAGATAAAGACGCCATGAAAAATATATCAGATTAAAGTTAGTATGTTGGTTACGTACTGGGATCTTTGACGGCCGTAAGAACAAGCTTGAATCCATTTTGATCCGTGCCCCAGGCATCTGTTACATATTTCAGTGTGACGAAGTTGGTGTGCGTGTATATGGCTCCAACGCTCTGCTGTGTATTTCTGCAGGACAAGTCCGCCTGAAAATCGATGAAAAGCATTAGTTCAATATTAAAATTTCCACTCGGTCGAGCAGTGCGCTTATAAACAAGTTATAGTTATGCTTATTCTATTTTAAAACTGTCATCTGTACCATTTTTTTTTTTTTTTTTTTTTCATCCGAACAAACATGATATTCGTTACGAAAATGAAGCTGCAATTGATGCTTTAAATTCCCTCTGTCACCCGAGTGAACAGCGTCATTTCAAAAACCGCTTTCCCAATCTGGGGGGAAAATTCAATTTGAAATTCCCGTCCGTCGAAGGAAATCAGCGTTAAACGTCGATAATAATTTATCGAGGAGTGCCACGAGCCATTTTTCCCTTTGGGCGCTTCAAACGGGGCTCAAACGATCAGCAAGAGCGTTATTCACAATACAAACAAGTATTTAATGAAACGACGAAATGTAAAAAATTACCTTTAAGCAAACACGACACGAAAGTCACTTCAAATGGGTGTATTCATGTGTCATTGGAAAATTCGATGAATATAATGAAAAATGATAAAATGAATGTACGAGCTGATAATCAAATTTCAGCTATCGCGTTTAATTAGCCATTTCGTTGAACATAGTGCAAGAACGTTCTTTGAGATTGACAGGAAAGTCGATTGCCGTGTTCATAAATTCATTTTAAATAATTTCCTCTGGCATTAAACAATGATTTTCATCCAAAATACAATATCCCCTCGTTTCCTCGAGCTTTGGGCTTTGGGCTCCTGCAAAATTGGCTCCGCAACGAAATATCAAAAGCACGGAAGATCGTCGACAGCCTTTAATAAGCATATCTTTCTCCCTCCTTCTTAATTAACGGGCCCCAACGAGCTTCGAGTTAATCCATATTTAATTATCCACAGGCCTTCTTCAATTGGGCTTTTTTTTACCTCTTACGTTTTTATTTTATTTTTTTTTTTTTGTATAAAAATAGTTGGAAACTATTAACGAGCTTAAATATTAACGAGCTTGTGGGGCACGAAAAAAGCGATGAATAAGCATTACCACGCCATGTGCTTATCAGATGTAAAGGCATCCATGAGATGAGGAGTTGTATGGAATATTTAATACTTGTCATTATTTTACCTACTAGACAAACGAGTATGATGGGAAAAATAGTTGTTTATCACCCAACATTTTCCGATACACACCAATTGCTTATTTATATATATTGAAGAGTTTTTCATAAAAGACAAAGTTTTGTTAGCAGTATATTCTTCACTAATTTATAAGATAAGAATAATCGTAACTATGGTTATTTGTGTACTGATAAAAATAATTGACTTTAGGTGAGCGGTAAAAGAATTTTGAAGAGTTAAAAAATTACGAATAACTCAAAATTCTATAGATACAATTATTTGTTCTGAAAAAAAAATATCTGAGACTATTTTCTCTGAAATTAAAACAGAAAGAGTTATTTTTTAAATTAAGGTGAAAATAAAACTTATTTAATAAGGTTGAGACTATCCGTGTACCAATTTTATAACATTGACAGCATGAAATACTACTCTTTCTTGCCAACTGGTGATTNAAAAAAAAAAAAAAAAAAAAAAAAAAAAAAAAAAAAAAAAAAAAAAAAAAAAAAACACATAACACCTGCAACATCTGAAACCTAGAAATGAATTTCAGAGTCGTGCCAGTGGTTGCGTCAAAGGATTATTTGTTCCATCAAGTCTCGATGAAAATACAAAACGACAGCAGTCGGTTATTTCCCTCTTCTAACAACCCTCCGAGCTCCCTTCGTTCAAGTACATTACACACGAAAAATCCTCTACTCCCCGAACATTTCAAATTCCCCTGTTTTTTTTATCAGTACAACAAAAAAACAAAAAAAAAATAAAAATAGGAAAATAGTTTCTTACCCATGGCAACACGCGGTCAGTGCAGTTCACCGAGTACTACACAACTACAGCGTCGATGAAAAAAAAAATAAATAATAAACACGCACGGATCCTCGATATACCGCATGGACTGAATAAAACATGAAAAAAAAAGGAGAACGGGTCACCTCATCGCGTGACTGAGTCCAAATTACGGACCTCGTCACAGGGGCACATTCGATACTCCCGCGACTGCACGAGACACAACGAGCACAGTTTCCCGCCGTGTGCGAGCGAGCGTTAAAAGTACGCGTGTACGGTCCACTTTTTTCCCCGTCGAGCGAGTGGGAAAAATTAATTTCAAATAGAGAGAAAATTCACGCTCCACTGACTCACTACCCTTTCGGCACTCCATTTTCGTCTCGTTTGACACGGGCTTCGACACCGAGAGGCCTGTTATCCCCCGATTTCCCATATCTCTACGTATTTTTAAAACTGCACTCGCTCGTACGGATTCAAAAAAACCCTCTCCCATCAGGAAAAATAATGGTATATATACGTTCAAAGCTCCACGGTGCACGAGGGCGAGCTCAAAGGAGTCCTAAACAGACAAGTAAAACGCTCCTCTGGCTCGATCCTGAGAGCATTTCCCCGTATACCCGTGCACAAAAGCACCTGTACTCCCACAAGAGCCAAGATCGCGCACGCGACGGAGGTAGGGCTCACAATGACGCGGGGGGGGGGGGGAAGAAGACTCGGGGCCAAAGGACGAGATTAGATACATCTTCCGGTATTGAACGGCTCGGCATCAGCAGCTGTCGCGCTTACAGGACACGGGAAGAGTGAAAAGGACGGTGCTTTTTGTCCCCTAACTTTTTTTTTTCTTCCTTTTTTTTCCTTCTCTGCGCGCGTTGTATTTCAGACGGAGTTGGCAATCCGGGGATCAAAGGAGGGCCGGGCGATCCTTCGCAGAGGACAGTGCGTATATATACGTATGCAAAGTCGGGGCACATACGTGGGAGGTAAATCCCCGGGATTTGTTAAATTAGGTGCCCGTAGCTCTCTGCCGCCGGGTACTTAAAAAACGAACGGGGCTCCTTTGAATACGCTGTTGTGTCCCCGGACTTGCGTTGAAGGGTAGCACGAATCGATCGCCCCCCTTTTTTCCTCCTCTAAAACACCACTGAATAGAGAAAAAGTACTCGCATCTCAAATTGTTTAATAACTGCTCGAAAAACACCGGTACGATCGCGAAATATCCAAGTGTTGCGCCATGTCTGACCACACGCTGGTGTATACTACTTGAAAATCAGTGAGCGGTTCTTTGTTATATCTACATCGCTCTCGGAGACGACTTTTTGGAATCGCAACTTAGAAAAGGTGACTTATTCTCAACAGCCCAGTGAAAAATAACAATCAGAGTGCATAATTTTTTACTCGTTAGCGAGCCTTTGTATTTCAAAAGAGACCGCTTTCGCATTTTCGTTTTTCCCGCCACGTGAACTTTCGTACGGGGATTTCCGATACCCTGAAACGCTACGAAACGCGATACTCCGCAAGAGGCTTTGTCGGTCGAAAGCTCTGAAACCGAAAAAGATCGAAAAGCCAAGGGGGAAAAGCGGAGCCTTATTTAAACTCGTGAGCCAACAAAAACGTAAACCAAACCCAAAAAATCGAACCGGGCAACTTGTACACGGCCCGTCGAAAGCGCCAACGTAGCGAGCACAACACTTATACAAATACACAGTACACACGCAAAACAAACACGCGCCACGCGATACCGCACAATTCTCTCGTCACGGAAATGCAAGTGCAGCAGGCGGTGTCTACCGAGCCATATGTGCACGTATCGTATATACTGCAACAACAGCGATAAATGGCCATAGGTAAGGTCGACGGCCGTCTGGAGCTGCTTTGGTGGGCGTGTACGCGCACACATGACGTACACATGTACAAACAAGCGAGTCTCGTCGTCGTCACCTAGTCGGGGATGAATCAACCCTTAATGCACGGATCAATATGACCCTCCTCCCTCCCTTCCTTCCTTCCTTCCTTCGTCCTTCTACTATGTACCTTTACTACCACCTCCCATACTCTATTTCATCACGGTATCGTCCATCCTCCCACTCGTTATTTCCACCTCGAGAATTTTAATCGCCGTCGTCAGTTTTCCCCATACCGTTTTCTCCCCCCCTACCCGACGATTTCTCATTATCCACTTAACATTCGCTGTTCTCTTTCGCAGGTGTGTCTTTTTTTTCTCTCTCTCTCTGATCGGCACATGCGTCTCTCTGCGCGCTCCACGAGTCAACCTCGAGGAGGAGGAGCGATTCTCGCGCGCTTATTGAATCCTAATCGCTGCTCCCCTCCCCCCGTGGGGGCTCATTTGAATTTGGAATCGGAGACCCGGGACTTTTCATTCCGCTGCCTCCATTGAATTTTCCCATTAAACGCTCTTTCTCTCTCTCCGGTCGTAAATTACATTTTTTTTTTTTTTTTTTGTATAAAAATAGTTGGAAACTATNTATTTCGGCAGGACAAGTCCGCCTGAAAATCGATGAAAAGCATTAGTTCAATATTAAAATTTCCACTCGGTCGAGCAGTGCGCTTATAAACAAGTTATAGTTATGCTTATTCTATTTTAAAACTGTCATCTGTACCATTTTTTTTTTTTTTTTTTTTTTTTCATCCCCCCCGAGCGTGCTCTGTTTGTTTATGCTACGGCTGTTAAGATACGCGACGGGAGGATTTTTGCCCACGGTGGACGCACTTTGGTTTGCAGGAGGTGCGCGTCGCGCGAATCGATTTTAATTCCGGGCGAGAGCTTCGATTTGTTTTATCTCCTTTCGCGGGGGAATCGATATGGTGCAGGAGTATATTGATCGGGTCCGGGCCACTTGGCGCGGATTATTTTCCCCGATAAAAGTCTTCGGTTGGAAATACTTTTGGTTTTTCGATCTCAGCCTTTTCACGCGAACAATTACATTGTGAGAGAAACGTTTTTTTTTTTTAAATTTTTCTCCAGACTGTGAATGTATAGTGAATTATTCCTAAATTGTTTAGTAATTAGCCTCGTGAAAAGTATTTCCATACACCGACAGGTCGATAGTTACAACAACCATCATTCGTACGCGAGACAAGACGTGTCAAACGGAGGGAAAAAAACCTC